AGCAAAATTAAATTCAGCATGAGATTTGCTAAACCCCAAGTTCACTAAGCTGTAGAACAGCTGATTAAAGTCTGCTTCCATTGTCGTTGACAGTGAAATCAGATTTTAAGTTACAGCTGTTCTTCTATTCCTGTCTTTGTCTAGTGTTGCTGAGAATAACTGCATGCCACCTGCACTAAACAAACCCTTCCCCAGCCAGAGCCATCATTTCTGTGGACATAGTTTATCACATCAGCTTTATTAGCTGATTTATAAAGACACACACCACAATGGAAAAGTCATCTTAGTGTTATCTTCCTTTGCAAAGAACCAGTATTACAGATAGCAAATTCTATACTGTGGCTTCAGGACCTTTCTCCATTGCAACTGCTTCCCTGATGTACTGCAGCTTGCAGTAGGTAGAGATAAGGAAAGTAAATACAGTTAGCTAAAGCTGTTGTGCATTTTCAAAGGTATACAAAAAAAATCCAAGCTTCCTTTTATTTCTAAGAAAATGGTGTAGATGAAAGCGCCAAGGAAAATCAAACATCTGTTTGAGACACTAGAGTTATATATTTTGTTCATTTTATGATAGAAGGGAAGACACAGTTCTTATTCCTAATCTTGCCAAAATGTCTGAACCTGAACCATGTTCCCTTTAAAATGATGACTACATGTCACTGTTTATACTATATAATGTTGTGAATACATGTAGGAAAAATACTTAGATTAATATGATAAAAAAAGGCAAATTAAAGCAAAATAGAATTCCACACAGTTGTACTCATGGGGAATATCTATCTATGGTGTAGGAATTTGCATGACTTCACCTGAAAATGCAGAGAAGAAAGGTTCAGAAATAATCTTATAGATGGTCTTCTACCATCTCTGCAGTGCTTGTGTGTTGACATTCTCTTAGGAGGAAACTGGACTTCTGACTTTTATTAGACATATCAGTTTTGCCTAGAGACACCAACTCAGACAAACTCTACATGGATCTTAAAAGAGTCTTCAATACTTACTGGGTATCAAAGCCATTTTTGGCACTGTGTGAAAGCCTCATTCCAAGGCCAAGGGAGAGCTGGTGATGTCTAACATGGTACAAAAGATCACCACCTCCTCCTGCTCTGGTATTTAGCAGTGTGGCAGATAAGTGACCCTGTATGTGTCAGAACACTCCAACTTTCCTTTTGTCAGATGATAGCTCAACAAAATCTGCTACTCAGGTCTAAGGGATTTGCAAAACTCTCTTAGGAGATAAGGTAAAGGAAAATTATATTACACAGATACATCATAGGTGGATTTGTGTAAAAGGATCTACAGTGTCTACTATTGATCCAAGTTACTCCATAAACATCTGGAGGTCAGTGTCTTATTCCATCTGTCCATGAAGGTATAACAAAATCAGTACTGAAAATAATAAGAAACAACAGAAAAACAAATTTAAAAATCTATAAAAATTGTAGCCTTGATAGGACAAAAAGAAATATACCAAATTTATAAGACCTTGCAATTTAAGATTTTTTTTTTTAAATTTAAAAACCATAGGAAATATTTGTTTGCACATCTGTCTCTAATTTTCCAATGTTTATTTAATTCTAATACTCACATAACACTCAAAGTGGTCTTGACAGATAACTGATAATGAACCTGCTTTGAAACTCATCCAGAGAAGAAAAACCTGTTCAGGGAATCCAGTGCTCTAGCTCAAAGGGAATACGTTTACATCAGCCTGTAACCAGTTTATTCAATTACACTTGTACAGTTCTTTACTTGGAACATTTACTAAGTGTTGTGAGGAAATAAATGAACAAGAATTGTCTAGGCATAACTTTAAATCCATCTCCTGCCTGCCTGTGAGTAAGAGTGTAACATGATTTGTCCCCTCTGAGAGTGGAGATCTGTGACTGTATATTACTAACTTTAAAGGAATACTTGTTTGATCTGAAATTTCAATTTAAAATTGTGACAGCTGCCTGTGACTGAAATCTTCTTTTGATTCATGGACTGAGAATTTTTCTTTTCTACTTTCAAAGTATCTCCCAGTTTGCTGTAAGGTTTATTCATCACATCACCAGATGAAGGAATGTTTGGGTTTTTTTCCCAGTTAGAACGACTGAAGGAAATGCTATAGGTGTTTGAAAAGCATTATATCTTTATGCCTTTAAGGTACTACACTATCATCCTATTACACAATTTCCTGAAGAAGCAGCAAACAGCAACAACAAACCCTTAAGTTTGTGAGCAAAAGATATGATATTTTATATTTCTGTAACTTCATTTTTTTTTCCTGCCAGAAGTCACATTCACTGATCAGAAAATTCCTGGTCTGCTTTTTCACCACAAGAAGGAGAGGGACAATTCCATTTTATCACTCCTAATTTTAATGTTGTTTGTAATTCACGGCTCTAGATAGGCTTCAGTCACAACTGATAGGGGCTTACCCAAAAGCAATGAGAAGCACTTGTCCCCTCAGTCCTTTTCAGGTTACTGGAATGTCCAGATGACCTTTACATGTAAACTTCCCCATCTTACTAACAAGAGAAACACAATCCTCCTCATGTGGTAGGGCAGCCAAAACCCATTGCTTGTCACTCCACATCAAAGGAAAAGCAATGTGGAATTCAATGTGGCTGCTGAGCTGGCTAGCTCTATGAGTGTGAAGACACTCTTCCTTTGAGAGCTTCAATAGAAAAACAGAAGGAATTTAATTAGCTTTTCAATATATTCTTCTGAAGCAATAGGACAGCTTTCTGACTAGGATAATTTTATTTATAAAGTCTGTTCAGTTTACTGTGTTTGTTTAGAGCAAAACTTTTTAGCTCAGCTCAAGTAATGAGCTTCCTCAGGGATTCTACAAGGAGCATTTACTATCCACGGTACAGCAGGCAGGCTGGAATTGGGCAAAGCTCTTTGGAGGCGTCACTAGGTCTGTTTTTATTGCTGCTAAGTGCCTAGCGGTACGGCAAGCGGTTTTTGCACTACATGTTTGGAACCTGAAAGCCTGAGATGAACAAGCAGGTAGGATTAGCTATAGAAATTCAGTTTGTAGAACAAATTACACGTCAGGAAATGTTTTGGTTTTTAACCAAGTATAAGTAGAATTCTAAAAAAATCACCTTTCTCATAAAATGCCGTTACGCGTATTTCAAAGTCCCAGAATTTTTTGATATCCTAAAACTCAGGGAGAATGAAATACAATGAGAGCAACCTGGGAAGAAACTTACAACATAAAGTAGGCTGACAGCCTTTGATGAAGCCTTTGATGTGTCCTTTGATGAAGGTTAGAGTAGGTGACTCTTCTGGTGTGGAATGAAGTTCCCATGAAGAACAGAAAGATTTGTTTGTTTTATCTAGTACCTGGCCAGCCAAAATGATTGAATAAAGGGATGGCTTTACACATCTTTTAAGACTATTGATAAAATGGTCATATCAAAACCATACACCACAGGAAAAACAAACAATACAGATTTTATCTAAAATATATAAAATTCACACAGCAGTAAGGCTGTTATGTTCTATCAAGCTGTCATGCAGGAAGGACCCAGGTTTTTCATTATTTTCATGCCCTTATATCATACTTTGTTTTGATTTGAGCTGGGAATCTGTATACTGCATGAAAAGGATGATAAAGCCAGTATGCTGTGCAAGATATTTAATATCTTGCTGATATTAAATATCTTAATACTAAAGCAAGATATTTAATATCTTGCTGTGCAAGATATCAAAATAACAGAAAACCAAGTTTCAGTCAAGCCATCTGCTCCCTTTTCATAAGAGCTATATTTTTAAAGAAAAGAGAAAAGGAAAGGAAAAAATAGTTAACAGAAATAATGTTAAGGTTATGTGGAAAAAAAGTAAAAATATTTTCATTATATATCCAGTTAAAAATTCTGTTTCTCTAAAAAAAAAAAAATTACACTTGGATTTCAGGTTAAAGGATTAAAAATAAACATAGTGGAATTTGAAACAGTCTTTGCTCAAAACATTTAAACATACTGAAACTCTCATTTCTTTAATTCTGTTGTGATAAAACCCATAAACCTGATTCAAAAAATCAGAAAACTTAATGTATTCTGGAACCTATACTTTTAGCAGAAAAAAAAAAAACTAAAAACCTGCTCCTTATTCTACATGGTGTTATGGAGCTTAGGAAAAACTGCAGACAGAATTTAGAAAAAAAAATAAACAGACCAAAAAAAAATTCCAAAATGCTCCTTATCAGACCAATTTTAAATTTTTATGTAGATTTTCTTTTCTTTCTCCTCCTCTTCCTCAACTTCTGTAGAACCAAATATCTTACATTGATACTGATAGGCCAAACAAATTCACTTGCATTTCCAGGCCAATGACAACAATAAGACTAGTCAATATTGAACAATAAAGTTATTTAGCTCAAATATGTGCCATAAAGATACAGCTGTTTTGTGTATTACCAAAGTGTAATACCAGTATAGAAATGTTAGATCAAAATATTTTGTATCAAGGTTGAAGTTACAGGAAACCATTGCCCACGGTTATAGACATTGAAAGCAACATGTGAGCAACTGCACTGGAGAGAGGTAAGAGGGATTTTTTTTTTTTTTTGTGAGCAAAATACTGATTATTTTATACAATATATTAAATAGTTTTAGGCAAAACCACATTTCAAAAGGAAATACATCAAGTTTTTCACTGGAAAAGGAGTTATGTTTCCATCAAAAGTTTTACAGTATTTGTTGTACCTAGTAACAGACATTGGGCTATTTACCTCAAGTTTCTTTACTTTCCAAAACAGAAGCTACAGTGAAAGGTGGATTCTTAGGGTCAAAATAGTGCAGCTGTTTAATCAGTCTTTTGTCCTAAACTGATGTGCAGTGTTTGAAATTACTATTACAAACTTCTTTAAAAAATTACTTATGTTGGAAACATATAGCCATTTCCATTCAAGATGGTTGTTCCCATAGACTCACTAGTTGCTGTTTTTCATTATTAGTGCTATTTCATCAAGTAACCATTTTGGTGCCATTTTGTATTTACAGTTCACTAGAGATCAACACTCCCTGCCAGAGCTCAACCAAGTCATCTGGTGAAGCACCCCTGCCCTTCAGCACCTACAGGAAAGAAGCAATGTGCTATGAAGTCCTATATTTTTTTAATCTAAATAAAAAAAACAGATCCTCAGCTCAGTTTTAAATCTTAGGCTTTTAAATCAAGAAATGCTCTAGCAGTGTAATAACATGCAAATATGGTCTGACCATTCAAGCTTTTCTTTATTTCGCATTGGTTTTAATAAAGGCACTAAACTCATGCTGCATGAGCCAGACCTGCTTGCACAGACACAAGGAGATACTTGCTGTCTTTGTCTAGCAGGGGAACATCTGGGATGGGTCACTGAACATCCCAATATCACTGTGCCCATGTAAACTGACAGCATCAGCACCCGACCCCCAGTGCTCAAAAAATATCTACAAAACTCTGACCACTGGCACAGGCTTTTTTCTGTGGAAGATGTGCAGATATTTCTTCAGATGTATCTTGATAATGCCTCATCTTAGACTAGAAAGATATAGTAGAGCTCCATTTAGAGTACATTCTTGATTCTTAGAGTAGAGCTGCATTTTTGTAGCTGGTGTAGAGCTTAGAGTAGAGCTCTTAGAGCAGAGCTACATTTTTGATTGTATCTATGTATCTGTAAATGCATGGTTAAAAAGGAGACAAATTCTGGCTACTTTAGAGGATGTGAAAAAAATAGGATCATCCTGATCAAAGCTTGACTCTTGAGAGGTGAATTCTGAATTGGTTGAGATACATCCAGGACATAGTGTATGGTTTTACAATAGTCCATCAAGTCAAGGTTCACTCCTCAAACTGAGGAAAAAACTTTTCAGATTAGTAGATTAAAAAATTTTACTGAATTACTACGGACAGCAGTACTTATTATTGTTTGGAGTCATGTTTTCTGCAGCTGGTAAGGTGACCAGATCCTTTTGGTTTTAAAGATGTTATATAAAGTAAAACTTTTTCTTTCTTTCTTTCTCTTTCTTTCTTTCTCTTTCTTTCTTTCTTTCTTTCTTTCTTTCTTTCTTTCTTTCTTTCTTTCTTTCTTTTCTTACTTTCTTTCTTTATTTCTTTTCCCTTTCTCCCTCCTTCCCTTCTTCCCTCCCTCCCTCCCTCCCTCCCTCCCTTCCTTCCTTCCTTCCTTCCTTCCTTCCTTCCTTCCTTCCTTCCTTCCTTCCTTCCTTCCTTCCTTCCTTCCTTCCTTCCTTCCTTTTCCATTTTTGATTAAAAATATGTATCCATCAGCATAAATGCAGATCAAAGCTCAGGGATATTTTTCTCTCTAATGCTTGCTCCTCTCTATTCCTATAATGTATTCAGGAGATTTTCAAAGCACTGGGAAAGGGACAAGGAAGAGACTGAAAGCATTGTGGTAAGAGGCTGTGAAGGGATGAACAAAAATCCTTCTGAATTTCATTTTCCCAAATTTCACTATTCATGGAACACCTTGTTCTTTGCAGCAACTAATACTTTAAAATCATGCAGATGTCAACATTACCTGAGTGAAATGAGTTTATTTCACCTTAATTTTGTTCAAAAAATTACAACAACTTTATAGGAATAAAGCATAAAATTACATTAGTCTCAAACTCCTTGGATATTGATAACCCACCATTATTTGCAGCAGATACTATTAATTTTAACTTTGGAATACATTCTTCTATATACAAATGAGTAAGATATGAGAATAAAAAGGTAAATTTTGTCATTCAAGTACAGCACAATGGAGAAATATATTTTATAGTAAGGTCATAGTTTAATTTTAAAGGCTGTGAATGAAATCTTTTCCAGCACTTTTCTTCATTTACAAAAAGAGTTTCAGAATTACAAGGATTTCATAAGGTCAGCCCTTAATTTATAAAAACTCTGATGCATTTTTAAGTTATATCCCTATATAAAAATAAATAGGGTTATATAGAGATATATAAAGGATAATTATATGGTAATTTTGTTTTTAGACTGTCTTCATATGCTCACTAGTTAACAGAGATTATTTTAAAGTATTTTTTAATATTTTAAGTACAAAAATGATAGGGATAGACTGACATTTCTAGTGATAGGATACTAGCTCTATTGCTCTCACAAGAATTTTTCTGAAACAGACATAATTACAAAAACTGATCTAGACACAGATAAAAAAACCCTGCCAAGTACTGAGCAACTTCAGACTAGGTGTGAAATTATGATTAATTAGGAATATACATGTAAGAGTTTTGTGAACAAGTGAAAAAATTATGTAGTGAACTAGAATAAAAGTGATAATAAGAGCCTTTTTAAGCATTTCACTGCAACTCATTATGAATGTCCATTTGAAATTAATAGAATGTTACATAACAGAAGATGCTTTATAGGCTGGGGATAGTGATTTTCCTTATTGATTCTTCAGGTAAAGCGTGGGGTTTTAATTCCTTTTGGAAAAGTTGTTCACTACACAGAAAGCAGAAGGGGACTTGTTGCACTTTGTGCTAAGAGTTCACTCAGATTTCAATTGTTTGAGCTCTTTGGGAACATTTGGCTTTTTTGTGCTGAACTTCCATAAAAAAATTCTCTGATTTCAGCTGCATATTATCTATGCTTCCAAAATAGTAGTAGTAGAAATGGCTGAATTACCTGCAGTAGTAGAATTACTATCAGTGGTGATCTATTATTGGCGAATAGGACATTAAACAAGGCCACTGAAAGCCATAGTAGGCAATACATTTAATAAACAACATCAGGCAAAATAAGGTCTGTGATTCTAGACATTAGGTTGATGAACTTATCCTATCTAGTATGTAAGCTTATATATATTTAAAGTAAGTGTGAGACAGTCAACCTTACATTTTTCCTATGTAAAGAGAAGCTATATGCTCTGAATCAAAAGCTACTTAAGCTTTTGGGATAAAAAAAACTTGAAAAAAAGCTGCAGAAAATCTTAAAAACCTCTCAATTCCTCCCACTTTTTTCTGAAATTGCAGTTTTCATCTATAAACAACATGAACTGTCCTGGAAATACAACAGTTCTCATTAAATCTTCAGTGAGTGCAAGGAGAGCAGTATTAAATAGATTTAATTGAGAACCGGAAAATCAGTGATCTTTTCAACACCACTATACCTCAGCTCAGAAAGGTTTGGTGGATAGAAATTTTCTTCAAACTAATCTCTGGTTTTTAGTTGTTTCAAAAAAGCTTCTTGAAATATTTTAACAATAAAAATACTTCCATGTACTTTGATTTTAAATAAGAAAGTCTTACTTGAGTGGAGTCTTTTATGCTAAAATTTAAGACAGTCTTCAAAACGTGTGCAGAATTGATTCCAAGCTTTTCACCAGTATAATTCTATTTAATTCTATAAAGATCTTATGGATACTTCTATTCTGGGGAAAAAAAGTATTCTCAGAGACCAATTCCAGCAGAATATTAAATCACCTATTCCTGCCTGCAAATTCACCTAAGCAGGAGCTCCATGGCTCCCAGATCAGTAATCAGCTCCCCTTTACATCATACTGTCATATGGCCTGATAGGGCGTGGCAGGTCTCAGGTAAATCTCTCTTGCATCATACAGCAGCACATGGCAATTACTCATGCAGTTGCATGCCTGCCTTAGAAACCTTTCCAGTTTGCTCCTAAAACTTAAGACATAACAATACTGCAAAACTCCTCCTGGCAACAGGACAGATTTTGGGTTTTAAGCTTAAAAACTTGGCTCTATTCTTATCCATTTCAGATACTATCTGGATAATCAGATTTTTTCCTCTCAGCATGCTTTTTCCAAACACTACCTCCCTGAATTTGACCTGCACCAGCCATTCCAAACATGAACACTAAAAATGGCATTTCTTCAGTGTGCTTCTGTATTAACCTGCTATACCATTCCAATATGAGAATCTGTGCATGTTAGTGATTAATGGAGAAATAATAGAATTTGTAAGATCATGCTTTGTGGTTAGATTTGCAGTAGTGAAAGTCCAATGTATCTGGCCTCTGTCACCTATGTATTAAAAAGTCATCACGTGTCCTATTTGGAAACTATTCTTTGTTAACAAACATTGAGATCTGTGTGTAAGAACTGTACATTTAGCATTTTTATGGGCTTTAATGACACTGAGAGCTCTGGTGGCTGCTGGCCTCTACCTATATCATCTTACCATCTTATGTCCAGTAGTATTGCATCTTAGAATGGGCTGGAAAGCCATTATCTGGGCTTTTTGGACCATGGTAATTTGATTAAGAGGAAGTTAAGTCATTAATACCAAGAACAACATGCTTCTCTAACACAGATGTACTAATATCATGACCAATATCAATGCTGGGGAATCAAATATATGTATATAATAATATAGTATTTGGATTCATATTTAAGCCTCAGGATACAGGAAGATGTCGTTAGCAGTCAAATTTTTGGAAACCTTCATTTTTGTTTGCCACAGATTAGGGAAATGATAGGAGTCAGTTCAGCAACTGAGTGAGTCAGTTCAGCAACTGTGTCAGTCACATAACAATGAACTGCAAGAAAATTAAATTAAACATAGTTTTAATTAAATAAATTAATGGCTGTTAAAGTCAGACATAGAGTGTGTGTGAAGGTAAATGACAAAGGCAGCTGAGGGAGAGGGAGCAAAATGAAGAGTAGAAAAAAATTCTTTGTGAAATAAACACCTTCACATGGTCAAATGCACTGTCAGAAGTTTTTGTTTTTCTTGCTCCACTGCACTGATGTATTTTGACAGGATATTTTGTTCTGCCTCTAGGGTTTTTAGGGAAAAGGAACTCATGGGCTATTACAGTTCCAGTGAGGAGTTTTGACTGAAATGTTTTGGCTCATTTCCTTGAGCTATGCATTAGCCAGATGGTTTGATGCATGTACCATGCCACCCTGTTTGATCCTGCTGTTGGACTTTAGCTCCTGTTCCACTGTCAAAGGGAAGGATTATTATGAATGTTCTCATTAATATTCACACTGAAGAATGATCTGACTGCCACTTCACTCCTACTGCAGGTTAAGTGAGGGTGCCCTGTCAAAACAGAGAAAAATCTTTACCTCTACTAATGCAAACCAGTCTGAGAGAGGTTTTTGAGCAGAAAATTAGATTCCAGTATTAAGGGCTTCCCTCTTCTTTGACAGCGATTTACTATGTCAAAATCTCTTCTTCATTACAAAATAAGAAAACAGTATCTAACTCTTTCAGAGGGGAAAAGTATATTCTACAAGGTTTTGTGATAAAATACTTGCATAAAAATTGATAGAATTGGGAACTTATTA